CTAGGCAGTTTCCATGAAGACGGGATCTGTCATAAGTGGGGAGGTAGGGCTGGGGTGCCCGATGCCGGGTTGGGTGCAGTCTCTGAGGAGAGACACGGTGAGAGGGCGCAGAGCGGTCCCTGTGTTGGCTGGGCTAAGAGTCTGGGGTATAGGTTGGGGGTGGTTTGAGCCTTGCTCTGTTGTCTTCCCCAAGAACCCTTACTCCAGAGCAAGGGGCTCTCCTCCCCCCACCCCTCACTGCACTCCCTGCCTTCCCCAGCACCACCTGGGGTGTGGTCATGTCAGGGCAGGGAAGGCCCAGGGAAGGGGCTCATTCAGGGGGAGGGGCCACTCTGTAGGGATGCTGGACCTGACCGCGATGTGGTGCTTCGGAACTCCCCTGGGATGGGTTTCTAACCAGTGGGATGGAAGGGCCTCTCCTTCCTGGGGTGCAGTTGGGGGAACTAGATCCATCATGAATGTCAGCCCTGAAAATGGAGACTGCACTACATCCATTCCTGGAACAAAAAATCAGGCCCCTCCGGCCAAGGTGACTGAGAAAGTCATTCAGCAATGTTCGGGGTCCCCAGTTTAGGCTTTCAATTAGAGCTGAGCGGCTCAGGAGGCCAGATCCCTGTCCGTGGCTCCAGGAGTAGGCTTTCTGCTTGGGGACAGGATCCCCACAAACACCTGTGTCTTTGTGGGTCACTCCCCTCTGACAAGCTGGGAGGCAGGGTGCAGATATGGGAAATCATGTTTCCATGAGGAGAGGGCCACCAAGTGTTGGGGCACAGGAGACAGTGAGAAAGAGTCCCGCAGCCTTTCTGGAATTAAAAAACTGGCAAATGTGAAAAAGTGCATAATTTGTTTTATTGAACAGGCTGCTTATGTACGTTTGGAGGGCCAGTTTCAAGGACCCTGCATCCCTCCAGGAAAATAGCCTCAAGAGTAGAACAGACAGAGTAGGAGGAGATGTGGGGTTTCTCCCAGGAATGAGGCAGAACAGGGATTTCTGCAGATTTGCAAGGAGACCCCGACCACTGACCAAGGGGTTACAACCCCACGTGACCCTTGTCGTGTTTGACTTGGGCTTTGGGTCTGGCCTGATCATGTATTCTTCCAGCTGAGTTCCAGAAACTCAGAGGGTAGACTTAGAGGGGCTGCACTTGGAACCCGGTGTGGAGACGGAGGGTCCTTTATCCTGAGTCCACTCAGCCTAATCACTGTAGCTGAGTTCCAACACCACCCAGGCCCCCAGGGTGGCCGTGGAGGGAGAGCAAGCCTGGCAGGTGACCCAGGGGTCCCACTGCTGTTCCCCTCCTTTATCTTTATTCCCTTTCTCCCCGGAAGGTGTGATTGTCTCATGTCATGGTGACAAGCCATCTCTCTTCTCTGTCAGGTGGGGTCCCCACACACGCTTAACTTTCTCTCTGCATGGATGCTGAAGGACCAGGCTCACTTGAAGTTCTGAGCTTGAGTAGTAAGTTGGAAACAAAGAAACCAATGGAAACAAAGAAACAAGTCATTGTGGCAAAGCTCCCCACCACAGAGAAGCTGCCCTGATTGGAAGGGAGGGTGTGGGCATGCCCATTTGTTTCCTGTCTCCCAGTGCTCTTTGCTTTCTTACTGCAGACCTGCATGGTTACAACTAAATGATCTGCAAAACTGAAAATATTTCCTCTCTGGCTTTTACAGAAAAGGCTGACCAGCTTCTGCTTCCCATACTGGTCAAGTGATTGGAGTACATTTCCAGTTTGGAAACATCTGGGCAGACTTAGGTTTACAAAATCCTTTAAGAGTAGTTACGGAATTTTGCTTCTAAACATTTTTTACGGCTGTATAATTCTGAGC